CAAACCACGAAAATCTGATCTCCTGGACATCCCACGCCCACCTCGACCACCACTATAATTACTATGACGATCTGAAGAAGATGAATGTCCACGCCCTCCATGTGCAAGTTCAACCTACAGAGATATACATTAGAATATTATGTCTAGGAAAAGTACCACATCTACCATATGGCATGTAAGCATAATAGCGTACCCGTAAACGATGACCATCAAAATCATAGCCATCACGACCACGAAGTGCATCTTCAGCATCACGAGCATCTTCGAACTGTAACAAAAAAACCTTGTTCAAACACATTATAAAGGAAACATACAAACATAAAATAAAATTAAGCAGCTGAGGGCTCTCACCTCAACAAATGCATAACCAGGAGGCCTTGGGGGAACCTTCAAGTCAATATGGGCTATGCGTCCATACTGCAAAGAAAATTAGAAACTTCAGTCAGTCTGTAAACCTTCCTTATTCTTTAGGGTATTTTATACCCATCCATCCAACACCTGCCACTCCACTACCTTACAACACAATTGTTCACACCAAAGAAAGATAATACAAGATTAAACAGGTTTTGGGGAAAAGAGATACATCTGTTGTATCCCAATGTCAAAATTCTACTGTTTCCTAATGTCTACATGTGCAAGCATAAACAAATGCATTCCAAATAACAACTTCATCGAAAAATCGCATAGCATTATATGTTGGCATCAATTCAAGCAAAAAAAAAATTGAATTACCTTCAAAAACAAATCTTCGACCTCTCTCTCGCGTATATCACCAGGCAGATTCCCAACATAGAGAGTTCTGCTTGTACTACGGCTGCTCATTTTCCTGAGAACTGTAAATTATATCTCCTACAAAAAAATAATAAGGCAAAAGAAAATAACAGAAATCATGAAGGATCCTGTTCGCATAGACAAGACAGTCAAAAGAAAATAAATAAGGAATTCAAATCTTACAATTATCTCTTAGGATGCTAAACGATTACACAAAATAATCAAACTAAACCCGATACAGCATAGTGCTCAGTCAAC